CTAGAACTCACAGTTAGTGTCTAGGACTACTTCTTAACCATTTGTTTCAATTTACTCATGCTTTTGACATTCCTTATCTATTGTGTCAATGGATTCCAAGTCTAGATGCCTTCACTGTTTGGGAAAAAATGCTCCTTTTTTCTGGTTTGTCATTATAACGTAATAATCTTACTTCATCATTCTCCATATCATTCTTTATTCTGTTGACCTATATCATATCCACCTTTTTCCCACTGAAGCTTATCAGTCTGTTTCATCTTGCCTCACAAGAGCTGTTCTTTACGCCTGACCAGCCTCATTGGCCTCCTCCAAACCATTTCTCAATCTATCACATTCACTTGGAGGTGGAAGCACTGGAACAATCTGCAGTTTTGAAGATACTGGTACTCCTAAATGACACAATGATGGCTTCTTATTTATTCTCCATTTTCCCCCTAACAGTTAATATTCTGTTTGCTTTTTTGACTGTACTGACATTTTCAGCAAGGTACTCACAAGGACTGTGGGATCTGTCTCTTCAGGGGTAATGGCTGGCTTAGAGAGATTGTGTATGTGATTTTCCACATGTACTGTACTTAGTGCTTAGCACTTGGCACCGCTGAATTTCACATGCTGCTTTAGCACACAGGATCGTGCTATCTTCTTAGAGCTTTTAAGTTTAAATTTTACAATCCTGCATGGTAATGTGTTGCCTGCAAATCTTACCACCCCAATCTTGAACCTCTTCACCATGCCACTTACAAGTATGCTGAACAGAATAATCACTGTGGTAAAATCTTTTGATTGTGAAAATTGACCACATTTTTTTCCAAGAATTTAATCTCCTGCCTAGAAGACCCTATTCTTTTTCATTCCACAGCAGAGCCTTTACTGAAAGCTTTACTATTAAAAGCTTTCTGAAAATGTCAGTACACTAACCAGATCACATTTATCTCTATAGTCATTGAGAGCTCCAGTGACCTGCAATAGATCTATGAAGAATGGCTTCCCTCTACAATACCCACTACACTGACTCTTCCCCACTATATCATCATTATCCATGTGCCAGCTAACCCTCAGCATCCTTATTGCTTCCTTCCATCTGCTCAATTGAACATGAGACTCACTTGGTTACATTCCAAGACCGTTCTTAAAGATTGGTGTCACACTTGCCACTTCCCATTCCTCTGCAATTCAGAAATTTACTGATTTAAGCAGTAGATTATATTATATAGCCATAAATTCAGCAACTTCATGTCCAAATTCCTTTACAATTGAGGATAAAAGTCATCTGCTTCTGGAGGTCTCTTACTATCCATTTCATCAGTCTGTTATAAAAATCTTTGCCCCTGCCGTTGGAGTCAGCTCCTCGTTCACCCCTGTGGTGAGCAGATCCTCTGCAGGAGTTTTGCTGCTCTCCTCTTTAGTGAACATTGGTGCAAAAAGTTAATCTGTTTTCTGCAGTCTTTTCTACCTTGTGCTCAAACTATATTTTGAGATGTGACAGGCCCCATGCCTCTAGTATGCTTGAAAATACCTTCTAAGGTCTAACATTTCAGCACTTTTCCTTCTCAAAATGACTTTGTGGTTTTATCTTTAACTTCTGAGAGTTAACAGAGTTAACTTGTCAGAGTTAACAGAGTTAACTTCTCTTTTCTGTTTTGCTGCTTGGATGAAACTTTGGATGAAGCAATCTCCGTGCTCGGGCTTCTACATAGGATTTATAAAATCAGCTTTTCAAATCTTGAATTGGCTTTGCTTTTCCCTGATGGGAACTGCCTGAGACCATCAAGAAAACACTAGAAAATTTTCTTTTTCCTTTTTCACAATCTCTGCTGGTTCCCATCCATGATTGTAGTGGTGACCTACATGTTATTAATATTACATTATGTTACACTGAGGAATCCCAGCTCTATTTTAAAAAGTTAATAGTATATCAATTAAATCCAATGCGGATTTTCCTTTTATCTTTCACACCTTTAATTCACATATACGTGGATTATTTTGCAGCAATGTTGTGGAAGGCATCAAGTCTTCTGAAGTACCAGAAGTCCACTTTGCTTTCTCATTAGCCACCCACCACAACAAACTCCATTTCTCTCTCCTGCACTCACTATTCTCTGCAGACACTCAGTCATGCACACTTTCCACTTTCCAATCTCTCTTTCTCAAATAGCATTTCTAACATTCCTCCCTCTCTCAGGAAAAGGGAAAAAAGTGAAAAGAAAAAAGCTAGAGCACCTGCTGAGGAGCAGTGCAAAGGCCATTTCTTGCTTTGCACCATGTCCTGTGGCCCCTCTTTTCCCCGTCTTTTGGGCAGGAAGCAACAGCAGGAACAAAGGCTCAACATTTTCAGGGGTAAGAAGCCACAGCTGCTTTAATAGCTGGTTGGCCACAGGAAAAAAAAAAGAGTTTGTCACTCTAAACCTTCATGGATGATTGGTTCAAAAGTGGCATGGGAAACGTTATTGTAATTCCTCCAAAGATAAATGCCATGTCTCCTACTGAGACATCCAAGATCACATACCTAAAATGCACTGGAGGGAGTCCAAGATTAACAATACCCCATAGCTTTGCTCAGGCTACATATTACACCTGGGATTTCCAGGCAGTACAGATTCTCTGCTGTGAGGAAATTTGCACAACAGACATCCAGCCCATGCCTAACTCCAGGCAACAATATTAGAGCTTGACTGTACTTGGAAATTCACCAAAATAGGTATTCTGGAGTTGCTATTTGTTCTCCAAGTACAGACAATTTTTCAGCCTTTTGGAGTCATTAACAATAACAACAGCAACAAATAATATGTAAAAAATGTTTATGTTATAAAAATAGAATGCCCATATAAAAAGAATTGTGTAATTATAAAATGCATTAATAAATTGACAGCTAGCAATGCCCTCTATACAAATCATTTGAGGGTGCTTTTATCATTAGATTTAACATAGAATGAAAATGTGCAATTAATTTAATTTCATGCAACTGGGAACTATACACCTGCTTAAAGACTGTTCCTCATGCACTGATGGAGGCAAACATACACAAGGCTATCTTCTCAGTTTAAAAGCAAGGAAAAACCTCTTTACTACATTAAAGCTATATGTGTTTCTTTCTGGTTTACCCTGCTTCTGAAACTCTCTTTGTGTGTATGGTTGCTTTTTTTAACAAGACCAGTAATAATTACTATAAAATATGGCCAGAACAAAGGCTCTGCATAAAAACTCACGTATATTAGAGGCACTTTATTCTAATGATTTGGAGAAGCTTTGCAATTTTCTTACTAATTAACCTATCAATAGCGATGTCACTTAAACATTCCTTAGGAATATTATCTTCTCATTATTGCCAGAAAACATGCTGCCCAATTTTATAGCTCAGTTGTTCTTACACACGGATGGAGTGTCTGAATTAACTTGAACTGAAACAGATTTGTTTTAAGAACTGTTTCCCATAAACACAAACTACTTTTGTAATTACATTTAAATCATTAATATTCAAATTTCAAAGCATTAAGGGGGGGAAGCATTCTGCGTTTACTTTGTGCTTGCACACTGTAAGAATACAATAGAGAAGAATTCTCTTTACGAAAGGGCATTGGGTCAGGAGGAGAACCAGTGGGTTTGGGTAGGCCAAAACAGCATCGAAATTCAGCAAGGGTCACATTCTTTAGGAGGAAAGAAACACAATGCAAAATCAATGTGTGTAAAATTTCCAGATTCATAGCTGCAAAGAGCATGTTTCTTCAGAATAAATACAGTTCAGGCAGCAGCCATGCAAGCTTCCCAGCCTGTCTTGCCAATGTCCTTCAACTTTAAGCTGGTGAGAACATCTGGAGGATGTGGAGGCTGATCACTCCTGTGTTGTAGTCTTTGCTGAATACTGCCAGGAAGGTTACAAATCAGAGCTGATGCCAGTCTGGGGAGTGTCCACGAATGCAGGGCTGCCTGTTGGGAGCAGGAAAGGGATCCATCCATCTGTTTTGCATGACCAGCCACCAAACAGCTGCCAGCCTTGCCAAGGGCTCAGCTCAGCTCCACGCACGGATCCCGTGCTATGACAACTTCAAATGAAATTGTATTCCAAAGAGCCAAAGGCAGGCTGTGGCTTTGTGAGATTAAAATGCTGCAACTCAAGGGCTGTGCTCTCAAATGCTTTCCCTGCTGTTTGAGGGTTTAAGTCTTGGTGATTAGGATGCATGTGTCCTCTCAGGCTGTTATGCAAAAACTGTACACAAATGGCATCAGAGCTGAAGGTGTTATCATAGAGATGGCTAACTCTCCAGATCTGGGGAATTGTTTTTCCTATTAATTTTTTAACAAAAATAAAATCAAAAAGTGTAATCTGACCAAAGACCTAAATGCCATGCGAAGAGATAATGCTGCTGTGTTGATCTTTTAAAATATTCTGATGTTTCATCTGAAAAGCTTTATATGTCCACAGAAGGCAGCTTGCTGAAATGCCTATTAAAAATAATGGTCTGATATTCAAATGTGTCACTTTCCACAAAAGGAGATAATGCTACAGGGTCATACCCAATAAAAGATTTAGACTTTCAAAGCTTGATGCTACAACACCTGTTAGGTGGCTGATGTCCCACTAGATGAAGAGTGAAGATTAAATGTGTCAGAATTACATCCAAACAGTCTTCAAAGAAAGTATAAAAGGTGACAAGAGAACATAACATAAATATATTTAAAGAAACAAGAAGAACTGGAAAAAAAGAGGTCCATTGCTTGCTGAGAACATGCAGATGGCTAAAATACTGATTGCTTTCTTTTTATGAGCCTCCATTGAGATGTTCAGAGGAAACATAAACAAAGAGAAATTGGTACAAATTGGAATAAAGAGAAAACTTTAAAGCACACTTAGATTCAGGTTTTTAGAACTTGCTGATGTTTGTGTATGCTCAATGACTAAGAGAAAACAATTTATAGACTATTAATAATTATGTCCAAGAATTCATGGGGGTTCAAGTTAGAAGCAGACTACAGAAAGTGAAATATATTCCCTATTTTTAAAGTCAAATAATAGAGAAAAGTTCCTTTAACTTTCATTCTCAGAAATAATCTGTGACAAATTTTCAAAAAGGTTGAGAAAGTCCATCAACATGTGAATCGTGGAAAGCAAATCTTGTCACATCTGTCTAATTTCTCTTTCTTATGTCTGATTTTCATTCTTATTTCTTTGTGAAGAAAGAGGAAGGAGAATGCACAATCTTCTTTTCACTTTTCAGCACCACTTTCTATGAAATTCACAGGAAAAGGATGAGGAAAAAGGTTCTAGGTGAAATCCCTGTAAAGTGATTACTGAAAATAATCCCTCTCAAAGGCTGCTTTGAATGGTTTGCTCCTGAATAGTAGTTATGAGTGTGAAATTACAAATGTGGTTCTGAGGGTTTAGGATGAAACCAACTCAGTTCAATGTATCATTAATAATTGGAGACCCATTGATAAATAATAAAATAAAATTTGCTGATGCCAAGATGTTCACTATTCATAAAGAGTTTAAAAGGACTTTGTGGTACTGACTTAGATTTCAAAATGAAAATTTCATACTAAAGCAGTCAATCTGATAAAATTCACTAAGGTGCAGTGTGCTCAGTTTAGGGCAGAGAAATCAATGTAAAATAGGGGATAACTGCCCAGACCATACTGCTGGGCATAATCTCAGAATCCAAACTGACCGTGAGTTGTAAATCTAATGTTACAAAAAGGCAAAGGACTCGTTGTGGGAACTTTATTAGTAAGTGTTTCTCCTGCGTGGGAAGAATGTTATAACTTCGATCTATTCTATCTATCCCCCACCTTTGTAATATCTCCAGTTTGGAGACTTGGAAGGATCCGGAAGAGAGGTATAGAGAAATCCCATGTGTGGGATGCAGGAATCAACTTTTGATCCTAAAAAGAGCAATGAGGATCCCATATAAAAGGCACTGTTGGTTTTGGACCTGATTTTATGCTTGCCATTACCTCTGGCCTCATCTTAGTGTATCTTCAGTGTGTGGGTGTATCTAAACACCTCTTAAACAATCACAAGATTTAAAAAAGACAGAAACAGCCCAACAAATCTAAAAATTAATTCTACAATAGAAGAGATGAGAGAGCAAGAACATTTGAATGCCTGGACAGAGAAAAAGCATACAGCGTGGTTTCCTCCCATATCAGCCATAAGAGATTGAAGAAAAAAAGAAAAAAGAAAAAACAACAAACAAACAAACAAGAACAGGAATTTGTACCTTACTGACACATGGGAAATCCCCCCTCAGTCAAGATTTTCTCTTTTGTATGAGTTTCCCAGATATA